GTTCTTTAAGAAGAAATCAGACAATAGAAACGCACAGTTCAAAAATGTTAGCAGTCTGGGACACATTAGCTATTTCTTCTGTTTGAACAGTTTCCCTGTGATAGGATCCGTGTCTGCTTCTGGAACTTGTTCTCTTGCCTTGAGTACATGAAGGGATGTGGAGTCTTGTCATTGTTCCATCCATAGCCCAAACTGACCTCTATCGTGTTCCACCTGTCTCTGCCTTCCAAGCACTAGGATTGTAGGCATGAATCACTACCCCCAACTTGAGAGAGAGAGAGCGCTCCTGTGGAGGTCACGTATGTGAAGTTGACATAAGACAGACACACATCCTGCATGCCAGGAATTAAGCTGAGCCCTTTGTAGCACGATGATGAAGGAGACAGATGCACTAATTGCCCTCAAGATGCCCAGGGCGAGTGGCAACAGCAGACATTATGAATGTCTGATATTTGAGTTTTACAAAATTAGGGTTTTGCTGAACCTGCCATAAAAACTAGTACCTTAGATTAGATACACACATTATCTTTATTTTTATTAGGTTGATAGAATTTAATTAACTTCCTCAAGAGTATACAGTTATTAAGTGGCAGAGATAGTATTAAGACAAAGGTAGTCAACCCCCAGAGCCCAGCCCTTGTTCAACTACCTGGTGGGTGGTAAATAATCATATTAATCATTGTGATTATTGGGGGCCGTAGGGTCCTGGCACAGCATCTGTCCTCCACCGACCAGCTAGTGGAGTCAGAGGGTAGAACACGCACCTCTGCCCTGGAGCCGGCAGCAGAATAGCCTGGATGGGTGATCACGCTGGACAGCTGTCCTGATTTTCCAGCTGAGCTGAACATGGACGTGCAGTCACGCCTGCTCGCCTTCCCTACCCCTACAATCCCATCCCGAGTAGAGGACAGAGCTGCAGAGGCTGCAGGAGGCAGGACACTCAGGGTGGAAGTTAAAGAAGCACACCGTGGCCATTTCCTCACTTTCAGACCAGTTTAGAGAACCGGGTTTAAAGAGTGGTAAGGATTTACACACACTGGAAAGTTCGTGGAGACAGAAGGAGCATACAAGGTGAGGGCTGACAGGGAGTGTCTGCCTCAGACCGGGTTAGCGACATCTCTGAGGGAGTGACTAAACCAGTACTTGAAGAATGAAGGTTTAGTCGTGGGGCGGGTTGGGAGCAGGGTAAAGGAACTGGGAGCAGCCTGTGCAAATAGTTTAAGGAACTGAAAGAAGCCAGTATGCTCAGAAGGCCTGGGGTGGGGGAGGGCATGGTCGTGATGGGAAGAGCATCACGCTTGGGGGCCACTGACTGGCTGAGCAGTGTGACCCGCTGGACTCCTGAGCCTTACAGACCATGGTAGGAAACTTGCATTTTAGTCTGTGTGCCCAGAAAATTCCTGGAGTTTATAATAGAGTCATGGTGTGTTTATTTTGAAATACTGTGTGTGTGAGAGAGAGAGAAAGAAAAAGAGAGAGAGATGTTTTTAAGTGTGGAGGTTGGAGGACATCAGGCATGGTGGCAAGCACCTTTACCTGCCAAGCAAGTATGACACTCAGGTATCTGGCTGGAGCAGTTGGACAGCCAATTGGTACCTGGTGTGACAGCAACAGGAGAACAGTTGAGCCTGTTTTCAGCTTGCTAAGTTCTCGATGCTAATGTATCTTTCCCTGGGACGGCGTGGTGTGTGGCCGCTTATAGAAGAGGTTCCAAATAAGGATGGGCTTTGAGGATGGGCTGTGAGGGTTTTACATTTGCAGATGGCGTCTAACTTTGTGATTTTTCTCATCCCTGTGATCAAGACAGGAGCAATTTCAAGTAGAAAAGGTTTACTTCTGCTCTTCATTTCACAGGGTTCATTCTGTCTGTGGTTGCCTGGATCCATACACCTGACCAGAACATTATGGAGGGAGTCTGGTTTGGGTTGTTCTTTACTGCTTGGCAGGCAGGAATGGGACAGAAAAGATCAGATGCCCAACCCTAACTACTTCTTCCAGCTAAGTTCCTCCTCCTCAGTAAAAATACAAAAGCTTTTATGTTTGTGCAGTGTGGGCGGTGCATAGGGATGTTCGTGTGTGTGTGTGTGTGTGTGTGTGTGTGTGTGTGTGTGTGTGTGTAGATGTGTGTCACTGAACACGGTGACACATCTATGGTTACAGTGTTCAAGAGTTAGAGGCAGAGGATCTTCAGCAGCCAGAGAGATGGCTCAGAGGTTAAGAGCACTGGCTGATCTTCCAGAGGTCCTGAGTTCAATTCCCAGCAACCACATGGTGGTTTACAACCATCTATAGTGAGATCTGGTGCCCTCTCCTGGCATTCAGGTGTGTACATGCGGACAGAGCACTGTATACATAATAAATAAATCAATCAATCTTTGAAGAATTATTATCTTCCGCTATAGAGTGAGTTTAAGGCCTAGACTATATAAGAACTGCCTAACAATAACAAAAGGAGACAAAATGGTGCCACTAGCCGGGAATCATATGTTTAAGACACGCACCCATGGAGGACATTTCATGTTGAGCTGTAGCATGGATAGGGAAGATCATCAGGAGGAGAACGTACAAGGTGGCCCAGGCCTCTTCCCGAACATCTCCATTAACAGGAGCTTACGTAGATGCAGAGAAAGTCCTAGAAGGTCTGCAGAAATGCCCACTGACAGGAGGAGGGAGATGTGGTAACCATGCGAAATGCTGATCCAGAAAAGTAGTCATTGGACTTGCTTATAGAGAAGAGCACATCCAGCAGGCTGGATTCAGGGAGGAGTGGTAGCTGAGAACAAGCTGTGCTTCTCGGGAGCTGTACGAATCACCCGAGATCCTGCCACAACGTGGGCCCGACTGTGGGGCCAGCAGCCGCCTTCCCAGTAAACAGCAGAGCTGTAGCTTAGGAGCTCCTGTTTCAGTGCATGAAAATACAAATTACTGGCCTCTCTTCAGTTTCTGATTTGCAGCTCTAGGATGGTATCCAGGAGTTTTCTTATAAATCTTCAGGTGAGGCTGACATGAATGGTTCCCATACCTTGAGAATTTGGAGAGTCTTAAGCTTTGGAGAACTTTTAAACTATGGTGGAGAGTCATCAAAACAAGTTAATGAAGATGGGAAATTTCTAGAGCATATTCTTAAATGAGTGGCCCAGAAGAGGGATGGGTGGCAGGGTGCTTGGCTCCCAGCCACCTCTCCCTCTCTCTCTCCTCCTCTCTCCCCCTGTCTCTTCCTCTTCCTCATGCATGTAAATAAGGTGAGCCAGTAATACAAGGGAGAAGATGGGTGAAGAGGAAGGTTGCTGAGAAGATGTGAGACAGCTCCAAAGCACTGTTAGTTGGGATTTGATCAGAGATGTCTTAGAGCAAGAGAGTCTGTGGAGAGCATTGGCCAAGGGAAACTGGGGTACAGGTCTACAAGAAGAGGTGGAGCTCCCTGTGGTAGCTTCTGTTCTCTCAAGGAAAGGGGTTTGGAAGTTTGAGAGGCAAAAATACCAAGTCATTTTACAGTAGAAAATGACCTTGTTAAGAAAAGTGGCACTATTTTAAAGCATATTCAAAATTACAGTCAGAAGTGAAATTTTTCAAGCAGTCTGAGTATACATTTTATTTTTTTGTTTGTTTGTTTGTTTGTTTTGTTTTCTTTCCCCAACCACGGTGAGCCACGGGTGATTAAGTGGCTGGTGTTACCCAAGGTTAGATTTTTATCCAGGGGAAGGATGCCGGAGCAATCATCACTGTTGAGCAGTTAGGGCACTGTATCAGACAGAAGAGCGCTGGAGAGACAGTGTTGGTGGGGTCAGCGGCTGTGCTGCAGACGAGGTGGCGCGAGCTGAAGCAAGCTGAGAGGCTGGAGGGCTGCAGGGAGAGAGGGTGCTGGAGAGAGATGGTCCAAAGGTGGCTGCCTGAGGTGGAGTTTCCTGAGAGGTCAGCAAACAGGACGTTGGATGTGCCCTCCGACTTGGTTGACACAGTTGCCAAGAATGTTGTCAAAGCTGGGAGTGGAGGGATGCTTTCTGATAGGGCAGACTTGTGGTGGGTGATGGAAAATTCTAGTCAGTAGATAAGAGCAGCAGAGCTGGTGGGTTTTCAAGATTGTTAGCGGGGGCTTTTGGAAAACAAATGGGAGGTAGTGATTGCAGATCCGCGCTCCAGGGAGGTGTGTGTGCAAGAGCGCTCTCTGATGGCAGCACTGTGAGAAATGTCGGTGTAGCTTACATCCACAGGGTAGAAAAGGCTCGGACTGGAACAAGTCAAAGTGATGGTTAAAGAGTGGGGATCCATGTAGGCCTGGGGATGAAAAGAGGACCCCTGGAGTAAGGACAGACTAGTGAGGGAAACTTGAGCATGGCATCTGAGCTAGCACAGCGATGCTGCTCATGCCATCTGGGTCTCACTCTCTGGTGTTTGTGCTCACCATGTAAGTGTTTGTTCACCCCTCTTCCCCATGCCTGAGGACTTTCTGTTGCACCTTTGTGCAGGGCCAAGACTTCGAAAGTTCTCCTGGAAGCAGGGCAGTTTGAGGCCTTTACTTTGACCACCCCGTAGGAACAAGGTGACAGAGAGGCCTGCGAACAGGATACATACAGAGATTATCAGTGTGTTGCTCGTTGGATAGGCGGCTGCCTGGGTTCATGAAGTGTTAGTGCTAGCCACAGGCCATTTTGCAGTTGCTGTTACCTGACTGCTTTCCGGCGAGAACCGCGAGCTGAGGGGTTGTGCCAGGGACTTTGCCTAGGCTTTGGAGAGTTGAAAATGCTACTCTGCGCCTCCCTGGAGAATACTTGCAAACCGTAGACTAAAGGGCAGAAAGCAGCATGGAGGGTAAATACGAGCCTTCTCTGGGCGGTGCATGATGAGTCATTAGAGTCTTCATCTTGGATTTTAGTGTCTGTTTTTCTTTGTGTGTCTTGCCTCACATTTCACTTGTAAATGAAGTAGCCTTGGAAGTATTAAAACTAGTATTTGAGCACTTTTAACAGTTTTCCTTTTGTCGTTCTCCCTTCCCACATTAGTGCTGCTTTCGATACAAAGACGGGGCATCGTGTGGCTGTTAAGAAGCTGTCGAGGCCATTTCAGTCCATTATTCACGCCAAAAGAACCTACAGGGAGCTGCGCCTGCTGAAGCACATGAAGCACGAGAACGTAAGCCGCCTCTTCTCCCGAGTGCACCACCACATCCTTGTGCTCACTGCGCGTGAACACCGCACACTGTCAGAGTTCATGCCGCGTGAGTCAGGTCTCGTATGAGGACAGTGGCGCAGCCTCTTCACAGCTAGAGCTTCACTTCAGGATCTGGAGAAGCGTTGGACTAATGAATTAATTAACTAATTTGTGTCTTATTTATTGGTTGGTTGGTTGGCTGGTTTTGTGTGTGTGTTTGCCTGCTGGAGTTTATGTGTGTTGTAGGGCGCAGTGCCCTTGGAGGCCAGAAGATGTCAGACTCCCGGAACTGGAATCTCAGGTGCTTGTGAGCCACAGTGTGGGTGCGGAAGCCCACGCCTGGCTGCTCTGCAGGAGTAGCCAGTGCTCCTCACTGCTGAGGCATTTCTCCAGCAGCGAAGACACCTCCTGATGCTTTTCTGTTTATTATTTCTTTACTTTGTGGCTGGGTCTGTGTGCACATATGTAAGTGGATGTCAAAAGACAGCTTGTGGGAACAGGCCCACAGTCATCGGTAGCTACAGTCCCAAGGAATCTGATACACTTTTCTGGCCTCAGCTAGCACTGTGCACATACAGTGCACAGACATAACATGCAGGCAGAACACCCATACACATAAAAAGATTAAAAACAAAAAGCTGCCAGGTGGTGGCGGTATACACCTGTAATCCCAGCACTCAGGGAGGCAGAGGCAGCTGGGTCCTTGTGAGTTCAAGGCCAGCCTGGTCTACAAATCGAGTCCAGGACAGCCAGGACTCTACAGAGAAACCCTGTCTCAAAAAACAAAAACAAACTAAAAAACTTATTGAAGATGAAATTTTATTTTTTACAGGTTTTTTTTGTTTCTAATTATGTGAACATGTCTGTTTACATGTGGGGGTATATGCACATGTCTGCAGTGCCATGGGGGACAGAAAAGGGATCAGATCATCTGGGTCTGGAGTTACAGCTGCTTGTGAGGCACTTGGCAGGACGGCGAGAACTGAACTCAGGTTCCCTGGAAGGATGGCTGAGCCGTCTCTCTGACCCCAGAATACAGGGTTTAGGTTTGCATATGCTGTTGCATGTGCGGACTGCCTAGTATCACTCCGGTTTTTTATGTTAAGATGCTCAGGTTCTAGCATAGATGCTCCCTGCACTTAGATATCAGCGTTTTGGTTTGTTGTTTTTGTTTTGTTTTCTGAGACAGGGTTTCTCTGTGTAGCCCTGGCTGTCCTGGAATTGACTCTGACGCACAGAGAGCCCCCTGCCTCCCTGGTGTTGGGATTTAAGGCTTGGGATGCTGTGCCTGACTTGGTTTTTATTTTTAAGTGTTGGTTACTTGGTTGGAGACAGGGTCCCCCTATGTAGCCCTGGCTGAGTTGAAATTAATGAGCTACTCTCCAGCCCTGTTGGGTTTTGTTTTGTTTTTGTTTTTGATTCAGGCTTTCTCTGTGTAGCCTTGTCTGGACTCATTTTGTAGACCAGGCTGGCCACGAATTCAGAGCTCCACTTGCCTCTGCCTCCCAAGTTGTGAGATTAAGGGCGTGTGCCACCAAGCCTTGCTGTATTTTTAAACAAAGCAGGCACATGGTTGAATGTCTCAGTTTTCTTTTCTATTGACATGTTTGAAGGGGAAAAAAAAAAACAGTACTCACACATAATATGGATGTCTCACCTTTTGGTCTGTCTGTTTTATGCAGGGAGAACCAAGACTTGGGGCTCCGCTGCTGCGAGCACTGGCTGCTCTAGCAGAGGACCTGAGTTTAGTTCCTAGCACCTACACTGGGTGGCTCAAAACTGTAGTTTTGTAGTTTGACACTCCAGGGTATCCAGTGTCTCCCTCTGGCCTCCACAGGTACACACACACTACATAAGGCGGGAACTAGGAGATCAAGGGTTTTCATGCTTAAGTATTGTGATAAGCCAGGTGTTGGGACACTTGTGTGAATCCCACATTTGGGGGCAGAGTCAGGACGATCAAGAGTCCAAGTTAGCCTGAGCCGTATGAGATGCTGTCTTTACACCCGCAGCCCCCATAACGAAATGTTAGCGAGTGTAAAACACACTGTCTGAGAAGGAGGTTGGGAAAGAAGCCTGTGTGCGGCTGGACTTGGGCGCCTGTGCCTGAGTTGTAAGAGGCCTTGCTTCCCCACCCGCTGACCCTTATGTGTTGTTGCAGGTGATTGGGCTGTTGGATGTGTTCACACCCGCAAGGTCCCTGGAGGAGTTCAACGATGTGTGAGTGACTCTTTCGAATTTGCAACCTCAGCGAGAGGATAGGGATGAGCAGCCCACAGTACTGCTCAGATTAGTCTATATCCACCTCTTCTGGGCTCCTGGGGGACGGATCCATAACCTGAAGATAATGTAGGTAGCATTTTAACATTTTTACCATTCCAGGCACAGTGATGAGTCCTTACAAAAGTTCCACAGGGGGAAAGTATAGGGAATTTGACTATACGTTTTTTCCTAAAATGCCATTCACATAGGCGTTTCCCTCCTTGATCCCTCATGGATGGGGAGGCGATGCTGAGGCCACATGCTGGTACTTGAAATGTTGAGTTTTTGTACGGGGCCGATGGCAGGCCCTACATGTTGGAATAGACTTCTTCTGATCTGCTGCCTCCTGGAAAGCAGAGCCTGGAAGTCCTAGGAGCCAGAAGTAGAGGGTCAGGAGAGAGGAGGTGGGGAGGCAGGGAGGAGCTGATACGTGGATGTGTTGTTAGTGAGCCAGTCAGCACTGGGAGCACCTGGGCTGGAGACGACCAGGATACAGGAAGTTCTACCTATAAGTCCTGGGAACTGCCGGATGTAGCGTGCACCTCAGATGGGGCCACTCTTCTGATTGCTCTAAGGTTTGCTCCGTTGTTCATGAGTGCCTTCCCAGGCTGAGTGGCACACAGTTGACAGCCAGACAGATTCCAGCAGGTATCCTGTGTGCGTCCAGCCTCCCCACACCATAGCTTTCCTAGTATCTGATTAACATCCTGTATTACCACCTTGACAGCATCTAGAATCAGGGCCTCTGAGCTTGCCTTGGGGGATTGATTATCTTGACTGTTACTTGGTGTGTGAAGAGCCATATAAACTGGCTGGGACTCTTCCTTGGGCAGGCTATCTGGGACTGTGTAGGACAGAAAAGCAAGCTGATGAGTCGCATCTGATTCTTCTCCGCCTCCTTGCTGGTACAATGTGGGCAGCTGTCTCGGGTCCCTGTTTCTGTGGCTCTGCTGTGATGACCTATACACTGAAACTGTGAGCCAAGTACAACCTTCTCCCTTAACTAATGCTATTTTCAGGGTGTTTATCAAAAGGAACAGCCCTCATCCCACTCCAGAGACACACTGTGCTGTAAGAGAAGAAACACGTAAAGCCCGGCTGCGCACTTGGCGTTCCTAAGTGGAGAAGATGTTTACTGTAAAAGCCAAACAGAATTGTAGGTCGTTACTGCTCTTCCGTAGCTTTCTGTATTAGTCAGCTTTCTTTCTCTGTGACAACGTAACTGAAGAAATTACCTTATGTAAAGAGGAAAAAGGTTCTTTTGCCTCGTAGTTGTAAAGGTTCCAGGTCATAGTCAGATGGGCCCATGGCTTTTAGGCCTCTGGTAGAGGGGCCAGGTAGCAGTGGCTGGGAGTGTTAGTATAAAAGAAACCACTAGGGAAAGGCAAGCGGAGCAGGAGCACCTAATTCTTTGCTTGCTTGCTGGTGCTGTTGGCTAGGAAGCAAAAGGAAGAAGGACCAGGATTCCAGTTTTCAAAGCCTCCTCCCTAATGACCAAGCTTTGCCACTTAGAGGTTTCAGCGTTCCGAGAGCCCCTGGAAAGGAAGCCGTTGACATAGGTGTGGGGGTTGTCACTCACCGGTGACACTGCCGGTGCAGCCAGCTTCTCTCCGCTCTTTGTTCGGGCCATGCGCCAACACCATTTACTCTTTCCCACAAAACAAGCACAAACAAGCACAAAACAAGCACATTTGCTCTTGTATTATGTTTGTAGAAAGGGGATAAAACAGTGAGAAATGAGTGCCGAGGGTGGAACAGGAGAGGAGAGGCAGCAGCAGTTCCCCCAGCCGAACCTGGCGAGGACACGTGCGGCAGGAGGACAGGCAGTTTGCCCCGTGTAGGAGCCTGACCCTGCCAGTGAGGGTTTTGGAGCAAGCAGGAAGAGCCTGCAGGAAGAGCAGCAGGCCGCGTCAGCGCCAGCACAGGCGCTGCTCACACAACGGAGCCCTGCTGCAGGCTGTGCTTGGAAAGAGGATGTGGTGTGATCAAATGAGGAACAAATGCTGGAACAAGTGCTGCTGCGGTGTTTTTGTGTTACTCTGCAAAACATTGGAGCTGTGTCTGAGTTTTAACCTAAGATTTCTAGTGAGAATAGACTTTGACAGAAAAATATTTTTTTTGTGGACCAGCAAGTGTTGTATTTTGGTTTAATTGAGCATCCTGCAATGAAAAATGGACTTTTTTTTTTTCCTACGCTGAAAAGGCCTTCATGAAGGCCAATGTCTATTTGAAGGTTTAAGTTGTTTTGTTTTTCAAAGCAGGGTTTCTCTGTGTAGCCCTGGCTGTCCTGGACCCACTCTGTCGATCAGGTTGGCCCTGAGCTCAGAGATCTGCTGGGATTAAAGGTGTGCGCCAACACACCTTGTCCCGTGGCCTCCCAACCATTCTTAGCCAAGTTGCCTAGCCTGAGTAGGCAGGGGAGGTTTGAGGAGAAGTCTCCTCAGTTTTCAGGAGAACTGGCTTGTCAGGGTTAAGTGGAAACAAGTCAAGTCGCTTTCTTTTTTACAGCCTTTTTTTTTTCTTATTTTCTCCTTTCTTTTTTTGTTTCATTCATTTATTCTTTTATTTGAGAGAGGGTTTCACTGTGTATTCCTGGCCAACCTGGAGTTCACAGAGATCTGCCTGACTGCATCTTTACTCTTTGTTAGTTTATTTTTGTGATGGTATTTCATGCATCCCAGGCTGGCTTCAAGTTTACTCTGTAACCGAGAATCGCCTTGAACTCCAGATTCTCCTGCCTTCTCCTCCCCAGTGTCGGGATAACAGGCATGATCCACCATATACCTAGCTTATGTAGTGCTGGGCAGACAGCTCTGGGCTTCCTGGTGGTAGGTAAGGGCTTTACCTCCACCACCTTAGCCACACCCAGCCCTCTGCTTGTTCTTGAGGAGACACGGGGGGTCTTGCACTCTACTGTGATCTAGAAGGTGCAGGGTACTCAGCAGCCCTCATTCTGCTCAAAGCAGTGAGTGGCTGATCGCCAGGCTGGCCTTGTACCTGCGGAAAGGGCAGTCCCTAGTGAGTTTGCACAGGCTGGGTGACTTACCTAGAGCTAAGGCGTCAAGTCAGTGAACACTTCTGGGTTTGCATTTACTGATTTTATTCAGGGTTTGGATATCTGCCTCTGCCAGACACAGTTCTCATCCTTGAGAAAGATATCAGGCGTGCATAGTCTCTAGTTATTGAGCTGACATTATTGATGCGAGAAAAGGAAATTTAAATGACTGCATCTTGTGCAGTGTGGTAGTTAGGAGAGGCCAAGCATGACCTGGCTCTGTGTACTCTCTGACCTCGTGTAACTCACTTCCCACCTCTGTCTCTCTGTCCTGTTGTTTTTTGTTTTTTTTTTTTTTTCCTAATACAGACAGCCTCTGCCTGCTCTCCTCTTGTAGCACTTGCTGATTGGCTTTTGTTTCCCTTCAGTCCCGTACAAGAGTCCTCAGATAAGACGAGCTCGCCCTGGCTGAGCTGGGGTACTGAGGCACTGCCTGTTCCTTACTCTGCCTGGTTCTTTGCAAATGTTGTCACCACAAAGTTCTGTTTTCCTTCTTTCCTTGTAAGCTCTGTTAAAGTGTTGTGCTTTCCTTCTTTCTTGAGTTGTTAGCATTTAGAGCAGTAGCAGACCTGCCTGCAGGTATTATTTGTGGAAGAAATGAGTGTAGAAATGTAGAAATCAGTCCACATAGCAAGTTCTGGGACTGCAAGGGCTACGTAGATCCTGTCTCAACAAAACAAACATGGCCTATTCAAGTGACTGGAACTGTAAAACCTGCATAGTCCGTGGTGTTAGCTGGGATTATGGTAGCATCGCACAGCTCACAGAGGACTTGAACATAAAGTTGTCACCCTACACGGCACTGATTGTCAAGTGAGGAAACAGATTGAAGCCTTCATTGTATATGAATCTGAATAAGACTTCCTCTTCCTGGAAGCACTGGCTGTCATTTCCTCTTACATGTCCAAGGTCATGACCAGTACCTGTGTTCTACACAAGACACCAAAAGTAAAAACTGTCCCAAGGTGCTTGTGGTCCCCTTGCTCTGATCAACTCCATCGTGGCGTTTCACATGCCATCCCCTCATCTAGGCTGAATGCCACTGCTGCACCCTGCAAGCCCAGCACTGCACATGGAGTGGCCGCCCTCCTGCTGTCCTTGTGGACTGGTGGGAGCGGTAGTGGTTTGACAGCATGCTTGGTGCTCTGTACCTCCCCCCGGGGTGCTGTGTCAGAATAATGAGTCTAGGCTGGGTGCCAGTAACAAAGAGGATACCTAGTGATCTGTACTTCATAGGAGAATGGTGTGTTATGAAATAAGCTTGTTAAACACCAGCTTGCCTAGTGGATGGTTCTTCTGTCCCTCACTATTGAATATTCTGGTCTCTGTGTCCATGCCAGATAAGAGCCTGAGCATACTCATTTCCTGTAAAATACTCCAGTACCCTGTCTTATCAATACTGCTCTGAGTTGTCCTAAGTTGTCCATCTTAGTGCCCTTATGGGCCAGACACCGCTCTGGATGCTTGAGGTCCACTTATCCCTGAGGTTCCAGTGTAAGCCCGAGGAGTGACCTGGCTTCAGATAGAATGGTAAAGGATAGGCCTTGAGGACATGGAATTTCTGCGAAATTTCAAGGAAGAAGGCAATGAAGATGGCTCAGGGTAAAGGCATTTGCTTTATATCCTGACCGGGCCTCAATCCCCAGAGCTCTCGTACAGGTAGAGGGACAGGGTCCATGAAGCTGTCCTCTAATACATTACTAATAAATAATAGCATATTTTTTAGTTGGAAAGGAGATCAATCCATAGTTATCAAGGAGAAACACGATCCAGGCAGAGTGCAAAGATCCTGAGGCAGAAGACTACATGTTGTGTCAGAGCTAGAGCAGGAAACGCAGTGTGCGGCTCAGAGCCAGTAAGAAAGTAGCCAGTGAGGTCAGAGGTTACAGCGGCAGGGACCGGAAGGAATCTGACTTCCTGTGGTGAGGACCATTGGTGGCTGCTGCTGTTTAAGTCCAGTTTAAATCTGGAGAAGGGCTCTTCCTTTTCCTAATTGTTTTTGGGTAGAGCCCACAGTGGTGGGCACACCAGGCCATAACAAGAGGTTTTTGTTTTGAACCTTCATTGTTTGGTGCTTTCAGAAGGCATGGGATGGTGCGAATCTTGAGCATTGGTACCACCGAAGCAGGACTTAGTAAAGGAGGCGCTGGAACAGGGCGCATCTAGAAGATCGCCGGTCCTGAGTGCCACCTCGTGCTCATCCAGTGTGTCTCACTGGGGACATGCGAGAGACTGACTTTTAAGGACACCACTGTCTCAAGCCAGAAGCATGATTGGAATCGGGTTGTGAAGTTGCCCTTTTGGCCTTCAGCTTATGACCTCACTTAATGTTGTAAAGGTGAGGTATTAGATAGCTTCCCAACTGCAGTGCACGCCAGCCTTCCTTAATTTATTTTAAGAGTTCACTATTTGGTCCAGTAATGACGTCAAGCGTGTCTTCGCAGATGCCACTACGTACCCTTGCCAGCATCCGTTACTGCAGAGACATAGGGCTCTCCAGTGGTGACCCTTTGGATTGTCCGTTCTGCTTTTATGGTACTGGGGTGGAACCCGGCGTCACTTTTAAGTGAGTTCAGCTGTGCCTGGCCTTCCACAGCCTGATGATTGGAGCAGTGACTGTGTGGCGCTTGCTTCTGTCCTATGTTGCGTAATTTGCTTTGGAACACCTTGCGTATGTGAGCTGAAATTTGATGCCTGATGGGCATAGATTGGTCGTGGACCCTGTGGAGACGGCGTGGAATGATTAGCGTAACTCCTGAAAGAACTCTGCCATAAAGAGTGCTTGGAGTTGCCGTCATTGCAGCCCAGGAGTAGCGAATAGTGTTCCTTCCTGTGTGCGCGCCTAGGTGTGTATACCGACACAACACTTTCACGGTCAGTAACCCTCCTCCCAGAAATGTCTGATAAAATGGGTCAGAAGTACCGGAGCCACTGTTTAATGTCTCCCAACCCCTGAGGTGCAAGTTACCCAGGGGCAGAGGCTTCTAACCGTTCCGTGTGCCTGTGTGTTCATCATGTGTGTTTGGTGGCAGACGCACGTGTCCTCTGATGCACACATGGAGGTTGGAAGGCAGCTTTGGGGGTGGCTCTTCCCATTCACCTGGATCCTAGGGATTGAGTCATCTCAGTAGCCCTACTCAGTGCTCTCATGTTTATCAGAATATGTGCCAGTTGGGGGTTAAAAATCTACAGTTCCTGGAGCAGGTGTTGTGTTGCATGCCTGCTCCCAGCACTCTGGAGGGTGAGGTAGAATGTGCAGTTTACAGCCAGCCCGCGTCGACACTGAGGCCCGTCTCAGAAGCTCCAGGCTGGCTGTACCTCAGTTTAAAACTGTCTGCCTCAGTAGGGTGCGGCACCACACACCTTTAATCCCAGCACTCAGAGAGGCAGAGGCAGGCAGATCTCTGTGAGTTCGAGGCCAGCCTGCTCTACAGAGCAAGTCCAGGAGAGCCAGGGCTACACCCTGTCTCAAAACAAACAAAAAAAGTGTGTGCTTCAAATGCACAAGACACCAAAAACAAAAGACTGGGTTGAGGCGGGGAAGTGTTCTGTTCTTGAGTCTTTCTTCATTAAAGGAAATTATCTAGGGACAAGGTGCCTTGGTTGTTGTGACATCTGTAAACTGTTATGTGTGCGCATCAGGGAACGTTCGTGCCACAGCATGCATATGGAGGCCAGAGGTCAGCTTACAGGGGTCAGTTCTCTGCTTCCACAGTGTGGGTCATCACGCACGGCAGCTGCCTTTGATCGAATGCTTTTGGGCCTTGGATCCTCACTCAAATCAAACTACCTTGATGAAAACACTTCAAAGAGTCTAATTTACTCTTTTTGTTTTTTTGGGACCGGGTTTCTCCGTGTAGCCCTGGCTGTCATAGAACTTCACTCTGTAGACCAGGCTGGCCTCAGGCTCAGAGATCCACCTGCTTGTGCCCCGGAGTGCAGGGATCAAAAGCGGGCGCCGTCAACACCTGACTGTTCTTTATTTTGTAAGAATTATTTTAATTGCTGAGAGAGGATGTGCGCATGCGCGTGCACATGGGCACAGTGCCCACAGGAGCTAGAAAAGGACATTGGGTCCTCTGGAGCTGAGGTTACGGGCAGCTGTGAGCCACTAACATGGGTTCTGGAAACTGAATTGAGGGCCACTGGAAAGCAGAGGCAGTTTCACTGCTGAGCCATTTTTCCAGCCTCTTCATTTACTCTTTAAATTGCATGTAGAGCTCACTTTTCTTTAAAGCAGTATAAACACAATTTTTAGGAAGATGGCTAAAATCTCACTTTAGAGTCACAACTAGGCCAAATCCTGTGGTCTTCATGTACAGGAGCAGCACCTGCCCTCCCTTACGGGCTCTGCCTGCAGCTGGGCTCTGCCGGCAGCTCCGCTCTGCTCTTGGTGGTCACGCACTGTGTGCTGCAGGAACCATGGCTGTGGCGAGCCTGCTGGACCTGAACACAGTCACTCCTCACCATGTGAAAACAGGGTTAATAATACCAGACCTGGGAAGCTCTGGACTGCCTTGTCCTGCTTCTTTAAACTCAGCGAGGTTATCCCCAACAAACTACAGCTTTTTACTAGTCGTTCCTGAAAAAATATTACACTTTGAAAATCTAAGGACGTGGCTATTTTAAGACATACAGCATAGAAGATTTAAATGAGGTAAGAACATGAGGGGATTGCAAGTACGCCATCTTGTATTATGGGCGTACAATTAGTTATGCTGTGTATTTCCTGCAAAATAAGAAAACTGAAAGGGGCTGGGGCTGTGGGTCAAGAGCACCCGCCTGGCATTCCTGAGGCCCTGGATTTGATCTCCAGCCTGCTTTGTTGCTGTGAAGAGACACCATGACCATGGCAACTTACTGAGGAAAGCTTTTCATTGGGAGCTTGCTTACAGTTTTAGAGGTTTATTTGATTAACATGAGGGTGCTGAGCCTGATTTGGGCTTTGGAAACCTCTACAGCTCCCCTCCCCTACAAGTCAACACCTCTTAGCCTAGTGGGGGTTATTACTGCTGTGATGAAGCACCATAACCAAAAGCAGGTTGGAGAGGAAAGGGTTTATTTCACTCCCAGTGGAGGCAGAAGGTGAAGCAGAGGCCGTGGAGGGTGCTGCTCTCTGGCTTGACCCCTGTGGCCTGCTCAGCCTGCTTTCTTCTAGAACCCAGGATGA